TGACTGTGTGTGTGTGACTGTGTTGTCAGTAGATGATAATGCTCAGGACGGATGAGAGGGATGAGAGCCACTCTGTTGCCAAGGTGACGGACAGGGCTGTAAACACGCTACCCCTGACTCATTTCTCCACAATGGAGCCTCTCTCTCTCTCTCTGTCAAATTCACACACACACACACACACACACACACACACACACACACACACACACACACGATGGAGTCCAATCTAAGGGAGACAAGAGGATCCGGAGATGAGAGCCACTCTGTGCTGCTTAGCTGTACATTTGAATAGACCTGCAGAATAAACGCAACCCTTTTTGTCATATACACGCTCATTTAGAACCACACATTAGACACACGCAATGTGACAAACACAGATAGCACATACTTGAAATGAAAATCAGCATGTAGTCCCAGTGTGGCTGAAAATTATGGCCTTGACATTTTATTGTACACAAAAGCAGAAAAATCGCAAATAAGTTGTAAGTACAGAAGAACACCTGCATGTTAACATCTGTATGTTTCAAACACCAGGTACTGTAGGTGTTTCAGAGTCTAAGATCCTATCAAAGATCTCCAAAGAATAAGTAAAAGTGTTGCCATTTGTCTACATTTTTAAAGGGTTAAAAACTGGAGTTTGTATTTGATGGGATGATTTTCAGATAATGGCACACATAAAACCGAACACCTAATGATAAACACGTGTAAACTAAAATGCATTTAAAATCTGATTTATAACATATGAAAGGCCTTTTAACACAAAGGAACCTCGTTCAACAGGGGCATCATGACCCGTCGGCTGAGTAGCTCCACTCGTTCCCACACCGAGGACTCCATCTTCCTGAGGCCTGATGAGGATCCCGTTTGGCTAGACGAGCCCACAAAGACTGAAAAAATTGGCGACGGAGCCCTTAAAAAAGACGGGCTCCTAGAATATAAAGATGGAACCGCTGAGGGCCAAAACCCCCAAGAGGAAGTGTTTTTACGCAAGGTGTACACACTGGTGATTGAACTCCACTGCTGGGCAGCACTGTTTATCACTTCCCAAATCTTGGTATGTGTTCCAGGCTCTCTATTATCTGCTTTTAATCGGAGTAAGTTTTTAGGTCGTCTTTGGGTTTCAGCTGCAATATCCGCCTTGCAAATGACACGTCAACACTTAAGCTTGAGGTTTTCTTTCAGCTTGACCTTTAATTTTCCACAGTGGTTTATCTTTTCATATGTATGATTGCGTTTTCATATTTGCTTCAAGTGCTTCAGGCTCGGAAAATACTTTTTCTGGGGGTGAGGCTAAAATTTGACACCTCTTCACCATTAATTCCCTCTTCCTGTTTCCGTCTATTGTTGACTTAATGTTTGATTCATTTAAACAGAAAAAAGGACAGGTGCAACATTACCATAAGTAAATAAAAGAGCCTCGTAAATGCAGCCACGATTACGACACTAGACTCTATGTGGACAATTTACATATTTTTTATGCCTGTGTAATGGTCCATCATCTTTTCTGCTCGCTTTTCACCTGAGAATGGCTGCAGTCCGATTTCCAGTGCATGAATGACTGGAGCGGTGACAATCTGCCTTCCTTCTTCTCTCCTCCCAGGGGTACTGGATATTTTTTGTGGTGGATGGAAATGGGCCACTCTCTTCCATCTACAAAGCCCTGCAGGTCATTGACTTCTACCTGGGGTTCATCTTACCCTGCCACCCTATTTTTGGAACGGATGTAAGTATCAATCCTAGATGTGGCTGACAGCTTTTAAGTCTGGGTGGAGAATAAACAGCTGTTTAACAGGATGTGAAGCACTCAACTATGTCTGACTAACTCATTCTCTCTCTGTGTTTCCCTTTATTGGCCAGTCAGTGGTGATGAGGGATGTGGTAAACACCACAGAGCACAATTGGATTGTTCATGGCACTGCAGGCATCGGTGTGGCCATCTGTGTAGTCATGGTAAAACACTGGCTTTAAGCTCTATTTTTATGCAAACATTTCACAATTGTGGTCATTTCAGCATGAATTTAATGCATGATGCATGCTGAATTGGTGTTATTTGCTATAAAGAAGGAAAATAATCGAAAAAGGAAACAAGATCGATTGAATCGGTTGTTTCTTAACGTAGCGACCTGTTGTTGTGTGTTTGATTGATTTACTTATTGACTGCTTCTTTTTTGTCTTCTTTTCTATCCTTAGATCATCCACCTGGTGTGCAAGTGGCATTATGGCTCTGGCTTGTGGTCATCAGAAACTGTGTCGAGGGACGTTGGTGATCGACGTCAGTCTGTGAGTCGTCAGCCCTCTTTCACCTTGTCAGAGTGGACAGATGCCCAGGAGGATCTGATAGACCTGGACCCGGTGCCCCAGACTCCAGTATTTGATATAGGCGCAGATACCAGGACGGAGGGAGATGCTGCCACCCTTACTGTCACACCAGTGGGGCTTCAGGAGAGGTTAGAAAAGAGCATCCAGCAGGTGGAAATGTTTGCATCTATGTTTGTTTTTCTTCCAGCAGGGAGACTCACACTTTATTCATTCATTTGTAATGCAGATATATGCATTTGTCTGACTGTCTGAATAAAACAGGAGAGGCTCCAATGTTTCCCTGACCTTGGACATGTGCACACCAGGCTGCACAGAGCCCTATGGCTACGGAGCCCAACTCTCTCCAAGAGACCAGTCGGCCCAGGACTATCTCCGACAGGGAACGCACGTCCTGACCCCTGCCATGCTACACACAAGGGCCATGGACGACCAGAGCCTGCAGGCTGAGTTTTATGTGAGTGCAGCAACAGTAGCGCAGCCACCTACGTTCTCGAGATTAATATAAAATGAACAGAGACTCGCCGGAAAAGACGTACACGCACACACAGATGCAGCCACACACACCGATCGGTGCTCTGCACACGCCCGTAAGCTTTTCTACTTTCTGTTAGTGGGCGGAAGATGGAGGGATGCAAGCATTTTTTTTTCTTTTTGCATACAAAAAAACACAGAAAATTCTTGTGTCTGTTAGGAAGAAGGATGCACGTTCAGGATCACACACACACACTAATACAGCAATGGTTGAGTGTGAGAGGCTGTGACTTCACGTGTTTAATATTATTCCCTCACTGTTTGGTTGTTATGCAGAAGGTAACTTTTGGACTTCCCCATTTCTTCACTTTCAGTTGCCTTCATTGTTCTGTGTCCATTGGCAGGAAACTCCCATGAACTTTGTGGACCCTAAGGAGTACAATTACCCAGGGCTGGTGAGAAAGAATCGCTACAAAACAATTTTACCCAGTAAGTAGAGCTGTAACACAAGCTAGTGACATCAGTTACTATAAACATAATATTGAGGTAGCAATTTTTAAAACTATTTTTATGCTAATTATCTTAAATAATTTTGCATCCTCTTTCACTTTAATGCTAAAATGTGTTTGCAAGACATCAAATTTCCACTATTTATGTTCACAATGACACACATAAGGGTGTTTCATTGTGTTTGTGAATGAACGAATGTGTAATCAGCTCCCTTTCTCGTGATAATGTCACATTGTCCACCTGCAGACACGCACAGCAGAGTGATCTTGAAGTCACAGGATGAAGATGATTTTCTTTCTACCTATATCAACGCTAATTATCTCAAAGTAAGTTCAAATGCACTCTGATGCAGCGATTTGTTATGGCTTTGATATGTAATGGTAGCAAAACAACGAGTGTGTGCATGTGCAGGGTTATGGGGGCGAGGAGCGTGCATACATTGCTACCCAGGGTCCCACTGTGAACACAGTGGGGGATTTATGGAGGATGGTGTGGCAAGAGAGGACCCCAATCATAGTGATGATCACCAACCTGGAGGAGAAGAATGAGGTAACTGTTCAAAGGATTCTTTGATAAATGTTCCTAAATATTAACCAGCTATATTATCTGCTGTGTCTATTGTTTCTTGTAGAAATGTGCTGAGTACTGGCCCGAGGACACTGTGACACACGAAGGCATCGAAATCACTGTGGTCAAGGTGACCCAGGAGGATGACTACAGTCTGAGGGTGTTTACTCTGAAGGTAACCGACAGAGAATGCATTAATATGTGAAATACAAAGGGTGAATCACAACAACATCACTTTAATGTTTTAGCTTCAAGTAATGCCAAAAAGTTGTTTGCCTCTAATGATATGCATACATGGAAATGGAAACAACCTTATACAGATGTGGATGGGTGGGTGGGGGGATGGGGTTACAGTGGTGGATGCTCATGTTAAGCGTGGCCAAAGTTTAATTTAGGTCAACATATGTAAAACTAATCCCGGTCTGCTTGAGACAGATGTCAAATGGAGTGGATATCCCTAATACGGTCTCAGGCGCAGGTCTGGCTGTGAGCACATAAGCCCCACCCATCTGCTGTTCACGTGTTCTGTTTGCAAGAGGCAGCAAATCAGAAGAAAGTTGACCTAAAGGGATGACAGAATACATACTGAGAGGGGTGCACAAAGAAATAAATGAACTAAACAAAAATATAGAACTAGTTACAAGTTATTTTAATTTTTTTTCTGATGCTCATACTGTCAAATATATGATTTAAAACAAAACTAAGGGTTCAAAGCCAGGTTCTTAACATGTAATTAGGAACAGAAGTGTGCAAGTTAAACCCTGCCATCTGTATGCTAATGTGCTTAAAGCAGTAAAGGCTTTCATGAGCAGGTAACATCAGAAAGCCTCTGTATCATTGTCCTGAATGATACCTTGATAAACTTTAGAATTCATTTTCCTCTCTCTTGGCCCAAAGGCGATAAGCCGTGGCAAAGTTGACAATCCTGCACGTGGCTAACTCCAAAGGATTACCCACCTTTACTTTATATGTCATCTGTGTTAGCAGACGTCTTTCCACGTAACACCTTAAAAATGTTTAAAAGTGTGCTTTATGTTATATTCAAAGTGGAAATTTCTCTAAAGATATGTTACATTTTTGTTTTTATTCTTTCAATTTAAGGCACTTAAATTAAATTTCATCCCTTAGGTGCCAATTTAAATTCAGATGTTAGATGTGGATCAGAACGATCTGCACGGCTACAATATCAGCCATAAATCCGTGCGTTTTAATTAGCTGCTTTTACCTGCATCTGCTGATACTGATTAAATGCACTGTTTACATGATGATCCCTCGATTAATGTCACAAAAACACCGCAGAAGATTATTATTTTGTGTTCCCGACTCAACAAAAACATGTTACAGTAAGTGTTTCTAAAAAATATGTGTATCAAACAGTCATATTTTATCCAGTAATTTATCACAACAGATATGGGTGTTGGAAGGTGGTTCGCTCAACGCTCCATTCATGTGTTCATGATGGGTGCTTTATTTTTAATTTGAGGTCACGGTGGCATCGGCACTTAGCAAACAAAACAAGATAATTCAGTAAATGCAGCCTGCATCTGATTGCTAAGCACCAGGGGATCATTATGTAACTGCGCTGAGTTAAAAGCTTGTTGATTATTCATCTCCTCTGGTTATGTTGTTTATCTATAGGATTCATAATTATTGGTAGACTGACATTCAGAAATTAGTTTATGCTCAATACAGACCAGGACAAATAGTCTGTTTTTGTACAATCTCTTTTTTTTAATGTTTGTTCTGCGTTCACTACTAAACCAAGGCAACTGTTTGGTCAAGCATGAAGAGCAACAGGTGTTCTCTGTGTGCTTGGTATAATGACATCTGTGTCACTGTCTGTGTGCATGCACCAGTGCGGGGAAGAGGAGCGCACTCTGCGGCAGTACTGGTACACTTCCTGGCCTGATCAGAAGACCCCAGACAAGGCTCCACCCCTGCTGGAGCTGGTGCAGGAAGTGGAAAGGGCCCGTGAGGAAGCCCTGCCCTCCAGTGGCCCTATAATTGTCCACTGCAGGTACAGGACTAAAGCAACTTGTTTGTAATATTGGGAGCATGAAAGATGTCATATTTAGAAGATAAAGCCATCTTTAGTTTTATATTACAGTATCTTGTTTTGCTGGTTTTTCTCAC